ACAAGACGAGATTAGCCCCATTGGAAGATAAAGTGAGGGCGATCAAAGGTGCCCTGGCTCCTATATCTATACGGGAGCTTTAGTCTTTCCTTGGGTTGGTGAATTATTACAGGAAATTCATACATAACCTGGCCTCCATCTTGGTGCCCTTACACCTGCTATTGAAAAAGGGTCAGCCTTGGAAATTATTATGTAGCCAAGAAGTAGCCTTTAGGGAAGTGAAAAAGAGCTTTCGTCACCTAAAGTGTTGGCCCACTACGATCCAAAACAAGATGTGGTGCTGACATTTGATGCCTCCCTGTATCAGGGTAGTGTTGGCTCACCAGTGGCCCAATGGAGAGGAACACCTGATAGCGTATGCTTGCCAGACTTTGGCTGGTGCTGAAGGCAAATACGTCCAGATAGAGAAGAAAGGTTTGGCGGTCATCTTTGGTGTGAGAAAGTTCCACCAGTATCTTTACAGACTTAAATTTGTAATAACAACGGACCACAAACCCCAGCTAGGGCTACTTAAAGCTGACAAAGCCATGCTGCCCATAGCTTCTGGTTGAATTCAGCACTGGGCCCTTATTCTCAATGCATACAATTACAAGTTGGAACACCGTCCAGGATGCCAAGTGACAAATGAGGATGCCTTGAGCCACATCCCATGGCAGATACTCCACCAGTGGTGTCTCCCCGGAAGAGTCAGTTCTAGTTTAAACTTTCTGGACACCCTGCCGGTCATTGCTGACAATATCCGATTGTGGATGCAGAACAATCCTGTCCTGATAAAACTAAAACAGCTGGTGGTGATGCTGAAAACAAAAGGACCATCACAACCCCAGAATTGAAACCTTTCTGGACCAGGTGAGACCGAATCACTATAGATGATGGTATATTATTATGTTGAGCAAGAGCGATTGTCTGAAATAAAGGTCACCACTAGATACTGACTGAACTCCACCAGGATCATCCAGGGATTTACAAAATGAGAATGTTTGCAAGAAGCAATATCTGGTGGCCAGGACTGGATGTCAACATAGCTGTATTGGTGGAGCAGTGCCCAGAGTGCCAACAAGGTCAAAAATTACCACCAGCAGATCCCCCACATTCATTGGAATAGCCAGGCAAACTGGACTAGGTTACATGTCAACTGTGCCAGTACTTTCACGTGCTCAATGTTCTTGGTCATTGTGGATGTCCATTCAAAGTGGTTGGACATGCATAGAGTTCAATTGGCAAACTCAGGGATGACGATTGAGAAGCTGCGAGCATCCTTCGTGAAACATGGACTCCCAGAAGTGTTGGTCACAGACAATGGGACATCATTTACCAGCAGGGAATAGGAGTATTTCCAAAGGTAGAATGGCATTCAGCATGTTCAGACAGTTCCATACTATCCATTGTCCAATGGTCTGGTAAAAAGAGCAGTCAAAATGTTGAAGGCAGGCATGAAGAAACAGCCTACAGCTGCACTCGATATCAAACTGTCCCAGTTCCTGTTTGATTGTAGGACCACCCCTCCCACAACTACAAGGATAGCTCCAGCAGAGTTGTTGATGAGGAGAAGACTCTGCACCATGTTAGACCTGATATTCCCAGACCTGGAGGAGGATAAAACAGCATTAGGAATGTCAATGTCAGCCACCGGCACCCTCTAATAGAGCGAGAGAGACAGTTTACTTCAGGGACTAAATTTTGGCGTCGAAACCACAGAAATGGCCCTGCATGGGTACGAGGCAACGTTGATGTGAGGACAGGTTCTGTGACATACAAAGTTTAGGTCGGTGAGAATGTCCTGAACAAACATAGATCGCATGAAAGCTACCTCACAAACATGGCAGGAGAAAAACTTACAGAGCCCCTCAGAAAAGCCAGAAATACTGTCAGAAACCGTGGGTTCTCCCCCTCCGTCTAGTGTCAAAGAAACCTCAGAGTCCGAGATGGATGCAACCAATGTCACAGTCTCGATAGTGTTACTGCCTGAAGAAGAGGAATTTCTCCCGAGAAGGTCCATAAGCAAGAGACGGATTACGGTCCCGTAAACGCTGCCTGTGTCAGAGATTGAGTCAGAGGACCCAGACCTGGGGCAAAAATGTCCCAGGAGAGGCTCAAGGTAAAGACCAGGCCTACATCCCTGGACTTAGTGGGGAGGGATGTAGTGGTAGGAACCAGGGCCAGGTTCATTGAGTATGACATCCTTGACTGGGTCTGTTAATTTAGGCTAATCTGGGATACCTGGCTGACAGATTCAAATAGGAGTCTCAGAGATTCTCCTCACTTTAGGGACTGGCTCTGAGATAGCTGGCCAGAGTCCATGTACTGTGCACATGTAAATAAAGGGTGATGTGATACTGGTCTCTGTGCAGTTATATTACCTCAATAAGATTCAATAAGATTGGGGCTGAATTGGAGAAAAGAAGGCTGAGAGAGGATCTAATTGAAGTTGTTGAAATCATGAGCGGGCTAGATAGAGTAAAGCTGTTTCTGCTTGTAAAATAAATAGATCAAGAGGGCATAGATTTAAAGTAATGTGCAAAAAAAGGCAAGGATGATGTGAGCAAAATATTGTTCCAGCAGGTAAGAAAAGTTCACCATTTCACCAACCTATTCACACCCCCACTAGGAATCGAAAGTCAGGTTTCATGTGCCAGAATGGACCATGAAAATAGCAGCCTAGTTTTGGCTTCTTTTTTGAACTATGACTAAACAACAGTTCCTACTATCTCAACCTAGTAGGTTTCTGTTGACATGAATAGACTCGGATTCATGAAGGTACTTAGAATCCCTACAGTGTGGAAACAGGCCTTTCGGCCCCACGAGTCCACACTGACCCTTGGAGCATCCCACCCACACCCCCCTGGCAACTACGGGCAATTTAGCTTGGCCAATCCACCTAGTCTGTGGGAGGAAACCGGAGCGAACCCACGCAGACACGGGAAGAATGTGCAAATGCCACACAGACAGTCGCCCGAGGCTGGAATCGAACCCGGTCCTTGGCGCTGTGAGGCTGTAGTGTTAACCACTGAGCCACTGTACCGCCCGCAAAGTAATTTGATATAAGTAAAGTCTTTCTAAATTCAACAGACACCCGTGAGAACACAGCCTAATAACTTTGACAATACCACGCTAGAGTAGGTACATTTTTCACAATGCACAATTGCAAAGGCACATCCGTGCAACTGTAGTGTAAGGCCACAATATCTCAATTTACCTGCACATGTATAGAAGCTCTTACGGAAGCAAAGAACCAAACACTCAAACTGACCAGGTTACAGGGCACTTGAAAGGGATCAGTTAAAAATAAATCAAACAAAGAAACACCCCAAAAAGGTTAACAACCAACTAATTTCTTTTTAATTGTAGTCACTATTTTGGAAACAGAGCAATTTGTGCATTGCATGCTCCCATTCTCTTCCAATATGTTAATAGTAGACCATCTATTTAATCGTGTTAGATATGTAGGGGTAATTATTGACTAGGGCTCCAGGAAGAGTTGTTCTATGAAATAGTGCAATGGAAACTTACACATCACTTGAAAGAACTATTTAATATCTCATTTAAAAGCCTCCAACAGTACAGAATTTCTTCAGTACTACACTGATAATGTATTCTTAGAATTAGTACTTGGATCTCTGTGGTCAGACTTAACCCATAAATTTCTATCTTTGAGGCAAACATGCTACCCACAATCCAGATAAGTGTGAGATGGTGCACTTGGGCAGGACAAACAAGGCACGGGAACATATCATGAATGGTAGGACCCTATGAGGCAGGAAATAGCACGGAAGCACTAAGGATCAGAGGGATGTTGGTGTGCATGTCCACCATCCCTTAAGGTAGCAGGACAGGTAGATAAAGTGGTTAAGAAGGCAAATTGGCATACTTTTATTAGATGAGGCATGGAATTTAAGAGCAGAGAGGTTATGCTGAAACTGTATAAAAAATTGGTTAGCTACAGTATTGTGTGCATTTCTGGAATCTACATTATAGGAGGGATGCCATTGCACCAAGGAGGATGCAGAAGAGATTTACCAGACTGTTGCCTGGCCTGGAAAGTTTGAATTATGAAGAAAGATCAGATAGACCTAAGATGTTTTATCTGGAGCAGATGAAACTGAGGGGAGCTGGGTACATGATTGAGATGTATAAAACTAGGAAGAGCATAGAAAAGTAGACAGGAAGAAACTTTTCCCTCTCAGTGGAGGAATCAATGACCAGGGGACATAGATTTAAGATAAGGGGCAGGAGGTTTAGAGGAAGTCTAAAGTAAAAAGGCTGGGAAAAGGGGGAAACATAAGGCTAGTGAATTGCTGATATAACTCTCTCATTTACAACACGGCGAGTTTGCTATCTACGGTACTTGGACAAGCAAATTTAGAGCTCAGTGACTGGTTGAAAAGGCAATAAAAAGAAAGGATTTGCATTTATGTAGCACTTTTCACAATCGCAGCTAATAGTCACTGTTGTATTATAGAAAACGCAGCAGCCATTTTACGCACAGTAAACTCCCACAAACGTTAACAATGTGATAAAAACACACACAATCTGCTTTTTTTTGTAGTGTTAGATGAAGGATAGATATAGTCCAGGACACCAAGTATAACTCCCCTGCTCATCTTCAGAGTAGTCTTGAAGTCATTTATACCTATTCAAGTGGGTATGAGCAGAGTAGCAATGATTCAGTAGTATGTGAAATGTTCGCCTTGATTTTGGTGCTTAAATCCTGGAGTGGGACTTGAAAGACAATCGTCCGATTCAAGAGTTGAACTGGCATCTTAATCATACAGCGTCAGCAGAATAAAACTGATGTCCAAGACCAAGAATTGGGGCAGGAAGGGTGAAAGTTTGATTAAGCTATTACACAAAAATAATCAGCAAGTAGCAAATTTAAGAGTCATAGTACTACTCACTGGCACATGACTTTGTAGTTCGGCGTGCAACTGTCTCCACCCCCAACAGGGAGGAGTTTTCATTCATATAAAGTTGCACAGTCCGTTGCATCACAGTTACAGATTCCTGCATGCTTGTTTAAACACAAGCTGTTCCTTCAGTAAACTTCAAGTGAGTTCATAACTGAGTTCAAGCTTTCAAAGGTGCAGCAAGGGCCTATTGTGAACAGATCCTGGACTGCTATGGATTTTAGTACCATTGGAGTGACTCTTATAGCCTTTGTGTTGACTGTGCTGCTGTATGTGCGCTCTTGGAAGAGTAAGCTGATGTACCGCAAGCTCCCTCCCGGTCCTCCCGCCCTCCCGTTTCTAGGGAATGCCTTGCAGATAGACAAGAGAGCTCCTGATCATTCTCTTATGAAGGTGAGCAAGCTTTATGTTAACCGTGTAACTTGTTCTGCGCTCTGTGTTTCTTATGAGTCGTGTCGTGCTTTGTTTGCATATTTACACATGCAGGTGTTGACAGATTCTTGATACCAGGGTGAGGCTCACCTCTAGCAGCAGGAACACGGGAAAAAATGTCTCACCCACAAAACAGGAAAATGACTTGCCCTTGAATAGAAATGTACAGTATAGGAGGATACCATTCAGCCCGTTATGTCCATGGAGGGTGGCAAGTAACCTCACAGCCTAGTCCCACTTTCCACATTTTGATTTTTTAAATTCTTTCATAGGATGTGGATGTCACTAGCAAGACCAGTAATTGTTGCCCATCCCAAATTGCCCTTAAACTGAGTAGTTTGCTAGGCCACTTCAGCATCCATATAGGAATTATGTGTGGGCCAGACCAGATAAGTATGGCAAATTTCCTTCCTGAAGGGCATTAATGAATCAAAAAGATTTTTACGAAAATCTATGTTAGTTTTATGGCCATACTTAAATCTCCAGGTGGTTTCAGCTTGGAGAAACTTCAGTTAAGAAGAAAGATTGCAGAAGTTAGGGCTGTTTTCCTTGGAGAAGAGAATATTTAAAGGAGATTTGATAAAGGCATTTAAAATCAGAGAGATTTACGCAGAGTGGATAGGTAAAAATCATGAAGGGCTCAAGAATGAGACAGCACAGGATTAAGGTAATTGACAAAAGTAGGAAAAGGGACTTCATGAAAAGCCTTTACACGCAGCAAGTGGTTAGGGTCTGGAGTGCACTGCCTGAGAGCATTGTAGGGGCAGGTTCAATTCATGCATTCAAATGGGAGTAAGACTGTTATCTAAAAAGGAAGAATCTTTGGGATTATAGAGTTAAAGTGGGAGAAAAGTGTGAGGTGAATTTCTGATTTGAAGAGCCAATGTAGACACAATGGGCTGAATGGCCACCTTCTGCACCATAACACTTCTGAGATCCTTTAAACCCAAGCCCATTAAATCTTTCATCATAACTAATAATCTCCAGTCCAGTCAACATCCTTTGGGGAAATAAAACGAACATTCCTTATCAATTGCTGTCTGCAGCAGCCCTTGACTGTAATGTGTTCATGTTGTCCAGTGTATTAACCATGACCTAGCCACATGTGACTCATTAGGAATCCAGATGTGACTGATTGCATTCCATTGGAAAAAAAGCAATAGGCACTATTCCCAAGCCTGTAATCTCATCATTCATTATTGTATGTGAACTTGTGAACACTTGCCAACTACATAAAATTGTTTGTTCTGAGGTAAAACAGAGCGTGTGCTTCTTCATTGATCATTGTATATATTTTAGATCCTTAAAGGGACTGAGAGATATGGTCGCTAAGCAAGTAAATGTACACATATTTTCTGTGTGTGTGTGTGTATGTGTGTGTTATTCTATGTTAAAATTAGTGCCTATCGTTAAAATGATTTCAGCAGAACTACACCTAGGATTTATCACCTGGAACGAATCTAAAAGAGTGACAGGCAAGCTTGTTGAAACATGAAGATCAAGAGGGAACTTGACAGGGTGGATGCTGAGAGGACTCTTCCCCTTGTTGGGGAGTTTAGAACCTGGAAGCACAATTTAAAAATTAGGGGTTTCTCTTTAAATACTGAAATGATGAGCATAATTATTATTTCTCAGAGGATCATCAGTCTGTAGAATTCATTAGAGATCAGTGGATGTTGGAGTAATTGAATATACTCAAGACTGAGGTTAGGAAAGCTTTTGCTTGACAAGGGAGTTGATGGTTATGGGATTAGGCAGGAAAGTGGAGTTGAGGGCAGAATCAGATCAGCCATAATCTTATTGAATAACAGACCAGGCTTGAGGGGCCAATTAGCTTACCTTTGTGACCTCTTTGCTCAAGTTTTTGGTAATGTGACCCAATATCTCCTTATAAGGCTCTGTGTTATACTTTGTTTTAAAATTTTCCTATCAAGCACTGGAGGAATCTTATAACTTTAAAGGGGTTATTTAAATATAAGGTTTTTGGTTACTTTACTGCAGAAAGCCACCATCAATCCCCAAAATTCCAGAAAACCTGGGATACAGACCCTCTATCCTGGCAAAGCATGACAGACCTGCCATGCCTCTTATCTTCAACTAGGCATGAAAGCACACTAGTAAAGACGGCAACAGGAACATATCTAAGAAGCATTGCCAAAACATATCTGGGATTTGCTGTATTTCTGTGAGGTTCAGGTACCTGCTAATGAGGTACTCCCATGCTCACAACTTTCCTTACTAAAGGGCACCAACGAAGCAGGAACACTACCTCAGCTTTTTCTAAATAACTTCACAAGAGTTTACTATCTTAGGCTAACAGGAAATGCTTGATGAATATACAAATCAGCAAAGTCAATATTTACAAAGGACGGGAAATTCCACCAGCAGCTAACAAATAAATGTTTCATTGATCTTTTCCCGTCAGGTTTGTTATTTATCAGACTTGAACTTATACCCTGGTTCTTATATGTTAATAACATGTATGTAGTCTCAATAGTCACGCCCTATATTGAGCAGAGGGGCTTGGGCAATGTAAGTGTGAGGTGGATTCCAACCAGCTCGTTTGAGCAAAAATAAAAACTGGGCTTTCAGACAGGAGCTGACTGCTTCTCGATCAAACTCTCCTCCTGCTATAGTGCTACTGCTTCCTTTCTCCCTCTTCTAATTCCTTGTCCTCTCTCTTTCTCCTTTCTATTTCCATCCCCTTTGAAGGGCATTCAAGATCGGCACAAATTAAAAGCTAACTTTCGTTACTGAAGATAAATTACTTGATGATTCTTCCACAGTCAGGTAATCACCTGTCACAACTGACCCATCTTTACACCTGAGCTGAAATGTTAACCGGCTGTTTGGCCAAGGGAGCCATCACAGGAATCCCAATGTCATTAGCCTCTATTGTATCCACAAGAGAACACTTCACAGAATCTTTGGATTTCACTAATGAGAAAGTGCTTTGACAAATTTTAGTGCTTCTTGGCCCAGGGGCACTAATGCCAATTGGATGTATCCCCTGTTCCCCCAGTTAAAACCAAATAAATGAACAGATCAAACAGATAGCTGCCCTCATCAACATAACTCAGTGACTCTTTATGCCATATAAAGAACACGTTCAATAATTGCAAAACAGATGGCTTTCAATGACAGTTTACAGCCAAGAATATTTTTATTGAAAAATTGCCTGAACTGAAGTTCCTCATTAATTGTTGTGAACTTAGAAAGGTAGGGGAATGAGGGGTGGGGATGGTGATGATGTTGTATGAAAGCAACAGTTATGGTAAAATCAGTTTTTATAATAGGTTTGATCCAACTGGTCATGGATTAGGTTCCGCAGTGGGATATTTAAATTTTTCTGATGACAGTAAGCCATTCTTGCAGTGATGCATCAGCAGTAGAGAAATATCGACCCACCAACTATGGAGTTTGAGACTTTGGGAGATCCAGAAGAAGAGTAAGGCAACAGCTGATGGAGGGAGGAAGAGAAAGACCAGAGGATAAGGAGTAAGAGGTGATTGAGGAAGAAGTGAAGGAAAAGATAGAACAGTGCAAAGGAAAGAAAGATGGCTGACAAGGATAAAATCAATAGGCACAGGGAGCAAAGGAAAAGATGGATTGATAAAGATGTTAATAAAGAGAAAAGACAAAAGGAAAAGAGAAAGGGGTAGGTTAAAAACAGAACACTAGAAAAATAGAAAGAAAGATTATGTCAACGTCTTTCACAGACATAGGGTGTGTTCCAACTAGTCATTTATTTTTGGTGTTTTATAAGGTAGAAAAAGTAGCAGCTGATTGGCAAAGAAAGATCCCAGAACCATGAATAAATGTTTAACAAATTTTCTTACTGCTACTTGAGAGATTCCAGTCTGCAGTGTGCATCCAGATATCTGCTGAAATTAATACAGATTTGGTGGCAGCTTTCAAAGGGGATTCAGATAAATACTTGAAGGGGAATATTTACAGAGATATGGTGAAAAACTGCGGGATTGTGATTAATCGGTAAAGTCTCAGAGAATGACGGTAAGCTGAATAGCTTCCTTCCATGCTCCATCATCCGACAGTTGGTATGACTCTATGGTTTCAAACATTAAACCTCAAATTGCCTCAATGACTGCCTCACAACGTTGCAACATCTGAGGATTTTGGGAGTCATACATTTACAGCCCCTGCTGTAAATGATTATTTGTTTTTCTGGACAAATATTATTTTTCCACTGTATAAACTGCAAACTCCCTGGTGGTTTTCAGATGGACCCCAGCTGTCCAATAAGAAACCATTTTTTTAAATTTTACAAATGGTCACATAACAACCAAAGGTTTTGTACAAACGAGATCTGTTGAAGAAAAACTGCTGTTTGGATTAATAGATTTATATTCATTAAACTCTATGGATAACATATTGTTGACCCACACATTGATTTAAAATACCAGGAATGAAATGGCGGGGGAGGGCAATATCAGTTAGCATCTGACAGAAACTAGAACTGGTTCTGTTGGTGATTATGTCACAGCAGTTTTGTTTAAACTTCATGCAGGCTGCTTTATAGAAATTGGGAAAAGCCCTAAATGCCCTTGAACTGAGTGCATTGCTAGGCCACTTCAGGGAGCTGTTAAGAGTCTTATTGCTTTGAGTCTCGAATCAGCTGTATGTCGGCCAGGTAAGGACTGCAGCTTTCCTTTCCTACAAAAGGTGAGTGGATCAGATGAGTTTCATGGCCACTATTACTGAGAGAAGCTTTCAATTCCAAATGTATTAAAATAGAGATTAAACTGCCCGGGTGATGAGGGTAGGGCACTTGTGGGGCTATGGTAGTGTCATACCTCTGGGTCAGAAAGTCTGAGTTCAAGTTCCTGTCCTAGAGGTGTGTCAAAACAGATTGATTCTATAAAAATCCCAGGTGCTAAGCTGAGATTTGAAATGATGCCCTAGATCATTAGCCTGGCCTGTTGATCATTAGTTCAGTAACA